CTAGGGACCTGAGAAAAGGACATGGCCAGAAGGTCCTCTGCCCTCCATGACAAGGACCTCCGAGATCTACAGACTGAGACCTCCCTGCCTGGGTAGACCTGGCCCCTCCTCAAACAGGTTCCTACTGCCTTGCACACTCACCTGCCTAACTCCTAGGATGCTTGTGGCCCCATGCCACACTCTCTGTAGCCCACTTCTCTCAGACACTGATTCTGGTGAAGGCACCTACCTCTGTCTCCAGCACCCACTTTCCAGGGCTCTGGGCTGACCCATCGGTGTTCCCTGGACATTTACAACACTAGGGACCTCCAGAGAAACCCCCAATCCAACCTCTCAGAAACCAGACTCAGCATCATCCCTCCCTGAGTCCCAGTGAAGTGCCCCCCCAATGCTGGGTAGAAATCTGAGAGGCATTCTGGATTCCTCTCTTCCTCCACCCTGCAGCCAACTAATCATCCTGTCCAATCAACCTCCCCCTTAAGTTCTTCAAAGTGCCCCTGCTTCTCTCATCTCTGTGCTGTCCCACACAGCAGATCCCCACTCTCCCTTGCCTGGTTTGATGAATTCCCGGTCTCTTTTTGCAAACAGCAGCCAGCATTAACCTGCCACACTAGAAGTCACTCAATCACCCTGCCTGGAAGTCTTCAGTGGCTCCCCACTGCCCCAGAATTAAGCCTCACCCACTAGCATAGTTCTGAATGCCCCAGGTGACCTCACTCCTGCGCCTCACCTCCTATGCCCACCCACATGCCAGCCTCACCAGAACATGGGCTGCTCTCCACCCTCACCTGATAGATTCCTGCTCCCTAGCCTTTGCTCAGGCTGGGCCTTCTGCCTATGAAATGCCCTCATGCTCCTTCAAGGATGATGTCTTTCCTGACTCTTCCTGTAGCCCATAGTGCCTTCTTTGCATGTGGAGTACCAAGACCTGAAATGTGGAGAGCTGTGTTATTGTACCTCTATTCATTAATACTGGGAGCTTCGGGGACCATGTTGGTCCAGTTTGGTGAAGGGAGATAGGAAGAAAAGAGGGAGGGACCACAAGGGCCTGGGGAAGGAGTCACATGTCACCAGGTGACCTGGCTGGGGTGGGAGTCGGATGCTACATCTAGGAACTTGATGCTCCTTTCCCCTCCAGAGGCAGGGCGCTGGACACAATGGCCCAGGGAAAGGTGGGATAGAAGACTGCCCCAACCAGGGGAGTGCTTTTCTTGGTCTGTGGTGAGAGTCTGGTGCTTGTTTTTAAAGAAAACAGAATCAGAGCCCCTATTTATAGCTGGAGGCCTCGGTCACAGACAGGAGGAGGATGGGACTGAGGCTGTGCAGGCTCCCACTCTGCTCCAGCAGGGGCTGGGGGGGCCATTCCCAGGCCCCCTGTCCCCCTGTCTCCCTTTCTCAGTCCCCAAGGAAGTGCCTGTGGGATCTTGACATTCCCTGGGACAGGATGTAGCCTTCTTTGTGGGGGGGGGGGAGGACTTGTGTAAGGGGGATGGAAAATTTTCTCCCAGGATTGGTCTCTTGAGGCCCAGAAGTCCCTTATGGGACTGGGTGGAGGTGAGGGCCTGTTATGTCTACTGAGAAGGCAGAGCAGGACCTGGGGTGAGGGTGAGGTCCCAGTTGTAGAGGGAGAGACCCAGACTGCCACAGGCAGTGTGTAACGGACTGAGGAAATGAGGAAAGAGCAAGACCAGACAGACAGGGGGGACAGAGCTAGAAAGACAAGGATGGGGGAGACAGAGACAGAGTCAGGATAGGAGAGACAGAGAGACAGGAACAGGGGAGAGAGAAATGGGAGAGATTGAGAGAGAGGGATGAAGGAAGTAGAGACTGAAGGAGACATGACTCTTCATGTCTGCGTCCAGTTGATAGTATGGGTGAAGAGGGAGAGAGCAGGGGGAGATCTGAAGTGGGGGGTCTCTGTCCCATAGGAGGTCTTCATGGTACTGAATACAGTGTGGTCAGAGTCTGACTAGGCTTCAGGTGGGACATTAGGCATCTCTGTAACCTTCACTCCAGAAGCCCAGGTCTGGCAATGTTGGTGGTGATGGGGGGGCTAGGTCCACTGGAGGCAGGGCTGACACACATGGGCTCTATCACCAAAATCCCTGACAAATTGGGCAGAGGGAGCAGGTCTAGGATTCCTGGGGTCAGGTCTCTAGCTTGTTATGGGGTGAGTTTCCCAGGCCTGGCTCATACCTGCTGCCAGTCTCTGTTCGAACCCCCTCTTGGCTGTGCCTGCTGGGGGCAGTGGGGTGGCTGCAGAGCTGTGGCATGTGTCATGGAGACACAGCCACAACCGGTGACTCAGACAGTTAAAAAAAGGAACAGCTCCAAGCAGTGACTCAATTGGCTTTGGAGGGGCTGGGTGGGTCTGGCTGGTATGAAATGGGGTGGTCTGGGTTTATTTTTGGCAGGCCAGGGCTGAGGCCAGGGGGTGGAAGATGGGAACCGGGGGTGGGGAGGAATCACCACTCTCAGCCAGGGAGAGCTGAGGGCTCTGTGCCAACTTAAGGAAGCGGATTTTCAATGCCAGGGAGCCCCAGCAAGCTAGACTGTCAGTGCCTCTCCAGGCCCAATATGCCTTGCTGTGTGGCCCAGGCTCTCTCTGGATAGAAGCAGAGTCCCCTGTCCTGTCTCCAAGACGTTTGGGTTCAGAATTTTAGAGATGACACTGGAGATTGAAAATTCTACTCAGAGGGCCCAGAGAGGGATAAGGGTTTGCCCAAAGTCCCACAGCAGAGCCAGGTACCCCTAGCTACGGCTGCTGTCACACAACCGTTAGAGGAACAGGCCCCCATCTGAGCACCCGCCCTTGGAGGGGCTCATCTGGGCTTCAGATAGAAAGCTGGAAACACATGGGTCCCAGAAGTGTGGAGATTGAGCCTCAGATGGGGGCAGGCACCTGGGTTCTATTAGTGTACATCTGGGGCACCAGCCAGGCCCTGCCCATTAGTCTGTTGAGACTATGGAGGTGAAGGCAGAGGGTGCCCACACACTAGGATCTAAACCTGGGGACCCAGGCTCTGGTCAACTTCCTTACTTCAGAGCATCCTTCCAGGTGGCTCTGCCCCAGGCTGCTCTCTGCTTCTGCAGCTACCTCCTCAGACTCAGCTCCCCTCCCCTCCCTTGCTCTCATACATCATCAGCTCCAAGAGCACAGAGGTCCCTTACCCCGCTCTGTCTGCATTTCTGCTCCATGTGAGGCAGTCACCACTGCTTAATGACTAGCCCTATGGTAGCTCCGGTAGTTGAGTCACCTGACATCACCGGGTCCTGGCCTTCAGCCCTAGCTCCAGAAAGGGGCCCTTGAGGGGCTGGCAGAGAGCAGGGCAACCTGTGGGCAGTACAGCTGGGTTGGCGAAAGACAACCGTCCAGGCTCCCCCTTCCATAAAAAGGTCTGTGCATTCTCTTCCTCCTACCTACTTGCTTTTTGGGATAGGGTCTGAGTTTCATTTGTTCATTCATTCAATACACACTTATTGATTCCTGCTGTGTGCTAGGCTCAGCGATTTCCAGCTGAGGGGCTATTAGACGCTTTGGGGAAACAGACCCTTTCTCCATGTAATGGGAGAGGTGTGTGGGCCTCAGCAGGCTAGCCAGACAGATGGAGAAGCTCAACCTCCTCCCCTCTCCCCCCACCCTTTTCTGAAGGGCACCGGGTGGGTGGAGAGTGGCTGGGGCCCAGTCCACCTTGTCTATATTACTTTGTCTCACACAGACCCTCTCAGAGGGCCACTGTGTCTAATTCTCTACCTTGGAACCTTTTTCAAACATTTCAAAGCAGGGAGTCCCCATACTGTTGGCTCTGCCCCAGCACAGGAGCCAGCAGGTACAGAGCACGTAGTTCAGGCAGAGCGTCATATAACAATCTTGTTTATTCCTCAATACCCACAGAAGACAGGACTATTTATCCTTAATTTGGAGAGAAGGAAAAGAGCTCTGGTGGAGCAATGGTTAAGCACTTAACTGCTAAAGGAAAGGTTGGAACCCGCCAGAAGCTCCTTGGAAGAAAGATGTAGCAGTCTGTTTCAGCAAAGATGACAGCTACGGAAGCCCTATGGGGCCATTTTCCTCTGTCCTGTACGGGCACTACGAACTGGAATTGACTTGATAGCAATGGAGTTTTAGAGAGAAGAAATTGAGGCTCAGAGTCACTTGCTCAAGGGCACACAGCTGGCCAGTGGCGGCACTGAAACTGAATCCCAGGGTCTTGAACTCGGCTCTTCACCATTATACTTCCACCCTGCTCCCCCATCTGCGAGCTGAGGACTCAAAGGCGGGAGAAGTGAGGTCTGAGTCAGGACTCAGGGATGGGGGTAGAGGTTCACGCTTAGCTGCTCTGAGACACCCAAAAAGGGTGATCTGTCCCTTTCCTGACCAGTGTGGAAAGAGAGAGAGTGTGTATGTGTGTGTCTGGGCCTGATGCCTGCCTCTCTGGCCAGCCTCCAGCTGCAGGAGAGCCGGCTGGGCCCCAGCTGCTGCGCACAAGGAAAGGGGTTGGGGAGGGGCCAGTGTCGTGGGAATCAGCATCCTGGGACAACCGATATTTATAGCTGCCCTCTCCTGCCATGTGGGTGGAGGAAGGGGTAACTCCTAGGTGGGAACGGAAGTTGCTCTCCTCAACCCCCTCTACCTCCCCAGCGGTGAAGCAGAGGCCTTGCCATGATGGTGAAGCCAGGCCATGTCCAAATAAGGGGTTTCCTGGGGAACTTCTGGCTCAGGTGCTGGACACCAGGTTTCTGAGCAGCACTGTGTGCACGTGCACACATATCTACTAGGTGACAGTGTGAGGACACTCATGAGCCAGAGGACGGAGGCCGAGGAGAGAAAGGCCTGTCTGAGAGGAAGGTAGCTCCCAGGAGAAAGGCAAAACTGAATGGTTGGAAAAGGCTCTGGGGAATGGGACTGGAGTGAAACTTAGAAGGATGGGGAGAAAGAAGGAAGGAAAGCCAGTTGCAGGGGACAGCTTAAGCAATGGTGGAAGCGTGCTAAGGGTTACAGATGGTTCTCCGATGCCCAGCTTGTGGTCCAGGGTGATAGACAGCACAGTAATGGTGCCTTTGGGCCTGCACGTGGGGGTACCACGAAGCTCTTGCCCACTTGGATGCTCAGGAATGTCCCATCTGGTAGCAGGAAGGGCAGGGTGGGATGGTGGGGCTGGAGAGACTGTAGCAGCCCCAGATCTGGACATTGTTGTTGTTGTTGTTGTTAAGTGCTGTTTGAGTTGGTTCCGACCCGTAGTGACCCTGTTAGGGTTTCCGAGGAGCAGTTCCGAGGAACTGCCGACCTTGCAGTTCAAATAGCTTTGCAGTCTGGCACATTAACCCACAGCGCCACACCAGGACTCTAGGAAGCTGAAATTGTGCTCTGCCCCCTGCCCTCAGACCTTGCCCCACCTAGGGAAGACATGTTCCAGGGGGTTTTGACATCGATCTTGATTTGGATTCCTTTAAAGTCAGGAAGTTCTTCCTTGTATCTCACATGCTCTCAATTGAGTTCAACTCAAAGAAGTTCCCTGGTTTTTAACTTTTTTTTTTTTAAAGCCACAGAACCCTTTATCAAAACTACATTTTATACCCAGGAGACATCAAGGCAAGTGGTTGGGTCCCCTCAGAGCAAATCCTCTTCCAAGACTAAGACTTAATGGAAATACACGCTCTGATTGGTGAACACATTCATCAGCGATTAGAGGAAGTGAGGGAAAACAGCAACGAAGCTGCAAGCTAAGCCCTACAGCATTCAATAGACTCCTGTGAACCC